TGAGGGTGGTGATGATTATGTTCACTATCAGAACTGTGATGGTTTCACAGGTGTTTGTGTCACAACTGAACTGTACACTCTAAATGTGGGCAGTTCACTGCCCAATTATATCTAGATAAACCTATCTTAAAATTTCTATTCTACTATACATTCTTCCAGTCATTGCCTATCTTATTTGATATATACTTACTTTTACTAAACTGAGATTGTAGGACCTTTTGGTATATGTTGCACCTACATTTTTACCCCATTTCATTAAATACATTTTTTAATATTATTGAACTTTTTAAAACTTTATTGTACATTCACAAAAAAGACATATTCTGAATGGATTGTCAAAAATTGAACCTATGTATGCAAACATACCCAGATCTAGAAACAGAACAATTCCAGAACATCAATGCCCAGCTCCCTCCTAATAAAACTCCTGCTGCTCTGATTCATTTTTATGGGTAGACCTTTTTTATGTCATACTTTTGGTTAACTTCTCTATATATTTTCAAGTGTATTTTGTAGACAAAATATTGATGAATCTTGTATTTATAATTCAACTTAGTCCAATATATTATATAAAATTTAATTGAAAATAATTAAAATGTGAAAAATAAAACTACTAGTTTTTTATTAGGTTTAACTCATTTACATTCATTTTAATTTCTGCTGTATTAGTTCATTAGTCTAACATCTTTTGTTATTGCACTTATTTGCCTTGCCCTCCATAACTATGTTCCATCAGATAGAATTTTCTTCTGACAGATTAAAAGGAATAAATTCTTTGTATGTATTTGTAGTATTTGTTTTTATTTTATTTTGTTTAAAATATTACAAATAGTAGTACATGTCTCATTTTTCCCCCCATGGAACTTCCCCTACCTCCTGGCACATACACTCTCCACCACCCCCATTGTCTTGCATACATTGGTTATGCTTATATATATGCATACAAGTCCTTCAGTTGATCACACACCCAAAACCCTCCCCAGCCTTCCTGCTGTAATTTGACAGTCTGTTCGATGCTTCTCAGCCTCTGTATCTTTTTGTTCACCAGGTTATAATGTTCTTTATTATCCACAAATGGGTGAGATCATGTGGTATTTTTCTTTTACTGACTGGCTTATTTCACTTAACATAATGCTCTCCAGTTCCATCCATTTGTTAGGATGTATAAGTTCCCTATACATATAAGATCCGTACAAAATATAACATTGACAAATATGCTCTCCCATGCAGTGGGCTTTCTTGTTTTATTGGTTTCTTTGTGCAAAAGCTTTTTATTTTGATGTAGTCCCATTTATTTTCTCTTTAGTTTCCAATTGCCCTAGGAGCTGTAGCAGTGAAGAAATTGTTTCGGCATATGTCTGAGATTTTGCTGCCTGTGGATTCCTCTAAGATTTTTATGGTTGCCCCCTGGCCACCTAAGCAGAAGCCATGGTATCTGAGATTTTTCTTCTTCTATAATTGAAACTTTGTAGCCTTGAGCAGAGGCCAAGGCAGGTCATGGTGGGCAGAAAGTTTGGCTTCCTCCATCACCGGGGAAATCCAAACCTCCTGCTCTCTCCAGCTCCGTGGCTAACACCATTTTTGTTGGGATTTATCTTTTTTAATTGAAACTTTATAGCCTTGAGTGGAGTCCAGGGATGACCAGGGTGTGCAGGAAGCTTGGCTTCTTCCATTACTGGGGAAACCCAAGCCTCCTGCTTGCTCTGTAGCTACAGCCATCTTGATTGGGTTAATTTGCATGCCCACTCCTGATTGGATGGTGGGCGTGGCTGGTGGGCATGATGGAGGTTCAATTTGCATATTACTCTTTTATTAGATAGGATATATAATTTTAGAGGACCGGTGCATGAATTAGTGCGTGGTTGGGGTCCAGCCGGCCTTGCCAGGGGGAAGGGACATGAGTGGTTGTCCGGCCTGTCTGCTGGCCGAACTCCTGGTTGAGGGGACAATTTGCATGTTAGCCTTTTATTATATAGGATATACACTGAGTGGCCAGGTTATTATATGGTCAGAGATCGTAATAATCTGGCCATTCAGTGTATACCTTTGTTGCAGACTTGATTCCTGGTACAGGTCAGGGTGTTTAGGGAAGGCAACCAATTGATGGATCTCTCACATCTTTATTTCTCTCTGACTCTAACCATCTTTTCCACTCTCTCTAAAAATCCATGGAAAAAACATCCCCAGATGAGGATTGAAGAATAAAAAAATAAAATAAAATAAAAATTGAACCTAAAAATCAAAACAAAGAAACCTAATGGAAAAACAAAGAAAAAAAAACTTGATGAAAAAAATAGAATCAGGGCCATGGAATTATGGAACAGACTGAAGAATCTCAGAGGGAAGAGGGAATGGGGGCAGAAGGAAAAATAAGAATTTATGCATAATCCATGGACACAGATAATAGGGTGGTGAAGGCCTGGGGTGGGGTAGGACCTGGGTTGAGGGGGGACAATGGAGGGAAAAAAGAGGGGGGGCATCTGTAATACTTTCAACAGTAAAGATTTTTTTAACTGTATCTTATTAGGAGCTAATTTAAAACATGCCTTTCTTAGATGACTGCTAATAAAACTGCCAGATTGTCTTTTTCATTTTAACATTAAAAGGCAAGTTCAGGTTAAGGTTTTTAAAAGTATCAATTTAATACTGAATATTTAGAAATATGGTACACACAGACACCACAGTAATATAAAATGCATACAATTTTAAATTACTTTCTTATGAAATGTCAACTTGGATGGCTAACAGTTTCTAATATCTAATAGATAAAATTTTGGGCAAATGTACCAGACATTTTAAAGGGGTTCATTTTAAATACTATTTAGTCATGAAGACAAATAGAGGTTTTTATAAAAATCAATATGACAAATATGTGGATTTCTAGTTATAAGTTAACATACAAATCTATATATTTTCATAATGCTTTTCATTGAAATCTTTAAAGCAGGAAACATGTAAGTAGGTCTTATTTTCGGAGGATGTCTTATTTTTGGGGAAACACGGTATGTATAAATTATGTATAACACACATTTATTTCAATGTTTATTATCAGAAGTGTTTTGGGTAACATGAAATTACCCATTCTGTAACATGAAATTGAAACCTCAAATTAGATGTAATGAAAGACATATTTTTATTAAAATTGTGCAAGTCACATACCAAATATTTACATAAAAGTAAATACAAAACAAACATAATTTTGTCCTACAATTCATCAACCTCATAAAATTACTTACTGAAATAACTGTAAAATAAAATCCCCAATTTTGAATGTTCAAAGGCAAACACAAATAGGAACAATATATGAAAAACTTTATTTTTCCTTCTGAGCAGTGAAGGATTAACAAACTGCCCCTTGGGGATTGTCAAAGCTTTCCTAGAACTCAAGGGGAGTAGATTCTTTTGTAAAACAGAACTAAAACTACATCCTTTACCGGTGCACACCTTTTACAAATTTTCACACACCTTTTATAAATTTTCTTTCTCAAACTTATATGTGCTCACAACTCTGAACCACAGGTTAGTGAACTGGGCTAAAATGTCCCTACCCTCCAAAAGGGAAAAAACACATTCCCTTTTTCTGAACTAAACAGCTTGACTAAATTTCTATTATGAATATAAAGAGAAGAAATAATCATCTTATGCATAAGTAAACTTGATGGAACTAAGATGGAATAAATACAGCAAGTCCTCAAGAACCACCTGTTCAACACCATTTTGACGTTATGTTGATGAGGGCAAAAAATAATCAATTCCCAGCTTGGGCCATGTCTGTGTATAATTTGTATGTTCTCCCATGTCTGCCTGAGTTTTCTCCAGATACTCAATATCACCCCACTTCCCAGTTTTGCATATAAGGTTAATTGGAGTGTCTATGTAGTCCCAGTCTGATGGAGTGGAGTATGTAGTGTTTCCTGTAATGGGATGGCATTCTGCCCAGAATGGGTGCCTGCCTTGTGCTCTGAGCGCTAGGAACAGCTCCAGCCTTCCGACATTGAACTGGAATAAGTGGGTTGGAAACTAATTAACTTACTTGTTTTTATTCATCCAGTACCGTTTCCCCGAAAATAAGACAGTGTCTTATATTAATTTTTGCTCTCAAAGATGCGCTAGGTCTTATTTTCAGGGGATGTCTTACTTTTCCATGAAGAAGAATACGGTACACATTTATTGTTAAATGAATATAAAGGAAATTTATTACCTGTATATGGTATGGTAATACAGTAGTTGTCAACAAAAACCAGACAAACTGTGAATCCTACAGTATCAAGAATTTACTCATTTATTCAATGACAATCATGTCATCATCTTCTGGAACATCATCATAACAATCCAATTCCTGAATTTCCTGGTGAATTTCTTGTGACTCCATTTCTTTCAGAATCAGTGGACCAAATCTCTCATGTTTAGCCTAGGGGGGGCCTTTTTCTCAGGGGGATGCCTTATATTTCACTCAGAAGGAAATCTGTAAGTAGGTCTTATTTTCAGAGGATGTCTTATTTTTGGGGAAACACGGTATGTATAAATTATGTATAATACACATTTATTTCAATGTTTATTATCAGAAGTGTTTTGGGTCTTTATTTAGAAGTTTCATGAGGTTTTCATGACCAGAAATATGCTGTAGAAAAGTAACTGTTATTTATATCAATTAGCCTGCGGCAAACTGGTTTCATCATGTTTCACTGAGTGTAGCAGTTTCCAAGAAGCTATTGATGACATTATGTGAAGACATACTGTATTGGTTATCAGAAGAGCGTATTTCTTAAAGGAATTTAAAAAACAAAACTTAATTGGAGAGCACGGCCAGCATGGCTCAATGGTTGAGCCTCAACCCATAAGCCAGAAGACTGTGGTTCAATTCCCAGTCAGGGAATTGAGGGCTTGATTGAGGGCTTGATTCCCAGTGGGGGGTGTGCAGGAGCAGCAGATCAATGATTCCCTCTCATCATTTATGTTTCTCTCTCTCTCCCTTTCTGAAATCAATAAAAATATATTTAAAAAGCTTAATTGGGTTATATTACTTAAAAAGTTAATACAGGAGAGATAGTAGGATTTTTTAAAAATTAAGTTAGATCCGTGTTCTTTAACTCTAACCAAAAATTAGCATAACTTCGGGAACTTTTAGAAAAACTTAAAAGCTCCAACCCTAAAAAATTCAGTTTTAACTGTTGTGGGTGGGTTCATATTAAGAGCCCTATAGATTATTGAAATATAAAGTGAGGGTTGCAAATCACTGATTTGTAAAAATTACAAATTTCAGGTTGAATTTGATTTAAATAAATTATTTAAAATTCAAATATATGAGCACTTCCTACATGGTAGGCACTCTTCTAAGAGTTAGTAAAGAGGAAATTCTTTTTTCTACAAAAATCATTTGATAATATTAATATATCTTTTATCTTCTGAATGTTATATAACTTTAATAAAATATTGCTCAAAGCTTTTATTATAGTCTGCTGTCATGAAAGATTTCCTTCTACTTTTCTAAACTATACTCACTTGCTACTATACCTAAGGAGATCATACCCAGAAGCTTTGTTTCAAGATATGTGTAAAGAATAATAATGCAGATTTCAGATTTCATTTTTCAAGTCATAGCATATGAGGTATTCTCGCTATACTGTATATCTGGAGTCACAAAGCCATAATTTAAGAACTGAAATTAGGTATTTAATGAATAACAGAATCTCCTGCATCAAGAATCACTACCATTACTGTCAGTGTTTGCTTTACATTGCCTAAAAATTAATCCAGGAGAGAGCCTCAGGGAACCTTGCACAAGTGTGTCCTTAATGCAAACCATATTTTTTGTGACCTATTTATGAAACATTTCTTTTAAAAAGTTACAGGGATATGTTTTTTGAAACAATACACAATTAGAAGTTAACTAAAAAAAAAAAGACAAAAACAAAATATAGCTTTTTACTTTATAATGAGAATTTGCTACTGTCCCAGGAGGTTAGCTTTAACATTTTAAGTGAATATCAACTTTATTAAGTATTATGAAATTCACTTGAAATGCAGTTAAGAAAAATATTATATTTAAATTAATAAATTTGATTTGTATTTACTCTTTTAACAGTTTTCAGATTCAATATGCTAAAACCAATGATCAATTTATTAATTCAATTACTAATTATCTTTTAGAGATGGACAGCAGGCCAAAATGATGGAATATTGGTTAAACTGTTATACACGCACATATAGGCAAATGAAATATAGCAACTTGTTTTCCATACTTAATAGAATTAAAACAGCTTTAAAATTTTATGAAAGCTCAGTAGTCAAAATAAATATTTAATAAAAATATACACCATAACACGACATTAAGAACTTAGTGTTTAAAAATAAACATCACATTGTTTTTGGAAACAAAATTTAAATTCAAATAACACTACAGAGATAATACATCTTAAGATGAAAGAGAAACTTACCGTGTTTTAAATCAATAAAGTTATAGTTTTTGAGACTTCTTAATATGACTATGACCCTAAGAAATATGAATAGTTTGGGGAATATAAGTCAAAGATAATCATGATTATGTGGTTCATGTTGTGAAATTCTCAGTATGTTAAGAAAATAAAAATACAGTATATATGAGCACCATTAAAAATGTATTATATGTACACATATATATTTAAAACTTTACCTGATTGAAATTTGCATTTTAGAGTGAAGGACAGCACACAATTATAAAAATACATTCTTAACCTCGCATGTCATGACTTATTTTAAAGTGTTTCATCTAGCATTCCTTCTAAAAATCAATAAAAGAATATGCATAAAGCCAGTATTCTTTTATAGGCAAAGTCCCTTGGTTAAACAGAAAGTCATTATAGGAAAAATAAGTGTTCAATAAGTGTTTTCAATTCATAGCCAAATTTCAACAGGTGAAGGAAAAATGAAGTCAGTAATAAACAGAAATTCACAGAATGAAATAGCAAATGTTGGTTTTACCCCCAAGGGATTATCATTCAGGCCTCAAGACTTTTTGAGAGTAGTCAATTAAATTCTGCTGGAAGAATCTTCCTTCTATAATAAAAGGTACAAATTAACCACCTGTATTTAATATTTTGGCTATATTCACCAAAACTCAGAAAACTATGTAATATCTTAGAATATATAACCTGTTGTAAGTTAGGTGTTTAATAAAAATCTTATTTTGATCCTACATATAGACAGCTCATGATAGACTGTTATGAATCTTTTCTATTTTTCAAAGTTGCCATAAGCAACCAATTGATATAGACTTTAGTTCTTTGAAACCATTGTCACATAATAAAATGTAATGCTATTCTCCATTTAAAATACGTTCAATCTCTTCTAATCTTTTTAAAGCAGCAACTCTCTTCTTCTCAATTTCTTTTATTTCTTTTGTTGTTTTGTGAGGGGTCTCACTGTCTGTATCTTTTCCTAATTGCTTGTTGGTTTTAGATGAACTTTTATTATCACTTGTTTTTATTACCTGTGTGAGTTGGGGTTCACTTCTTATTTCTCTTGCATTTTCGGTTGGAATTTTGTTTCCTGAAGTCTTAGTAACTGGGAATATTGGCTGTTCTATTAAACTAGATGCAGAAATTTTATCCCTGACTATATTCAAATGGCGCTGGATATATTCTTCATGTGGTGCTAATGCCAATGTTTCAAGCAGGCATTTTTCAGCTTTTAATAAGTCTTTCTCCTCAAAATAAACAACACAAAGATTGTGCTTTCCTTGCACATTGCTTGGATCCATCTCCAAAATCTTTTCGAAACATTTTTTTGCTCCAAGTATATCTTTCTTTTGATTCATTAGAATGTCTCCCTTTAAAATGAGACCCTTAATATGATCAGGATAGTATTTGAGTAACTCTTCTAAAACTGGCAAAGCCAGTAATTCCTTTGCAGTCTGAGAATACAGCAGAGCCAGATTAAACAAAGCACTTCTGAAGTCAGCTTGTAACTTTATGGCTTTCTTCATCCACATCTCAGCTTCAGAGTCCTTTTTGTCGTCCATGGCAAGCATTCCCAGATTGAAATAACCATTAGCATCTTGTGGCTCTTCATTTATATAACTCAGAAGTCGTTTTCTAGCTTCAGGTCTGAGCTTAACCTCACCTATGAATAATTTTTTTAAAAAAAAAAGAAAAACATTATGTTGTTAGCAAACAAATTAAGCCTGAGGAAAAAAGCCACTTTCATATTTTATCTAGTTAGATTACAAAAAGAGAGCATCAAAACAACTGATTGCTGTACCTAAATCAAAAGCAAAAAGGAAAATCTTAGTCTTCATAGGAAAGAGAGGTGTTTGAAATGAAATGCTAGAAAATATCTCCTTACAGTTTAGAAGCTAACTGTGAGTAACAAAGAATAGAGAATGAAAAGAAAGAGGCATGAGATTTGCCAAGAGACATGCATTCAATCTTGATTCTGCTAACATTGTAACTTTATACACTGAATAAGTAAGTTATTGAACTTCTCTGGGTTAACTTATGAATTTTCTTAGAATTACATGAGATATATGTAAAAATGCTTAGTAAACATTAACTATTATTGGGTAAAATAATGTTTGGGTAAGATATATTAACTATTATTGGGTAAGATAACAAGTAAGTTATTGAACTTCTCTGAGTTAACTTATGAATTTTCTTAGAATTACATGAGATATACATAAAAATGCTTAGTAAACATTAACTATTATTGGGTAAGATAATGTTTCTATCTTATTAAGACTTGTATGTTACTTCAAATTTTTTAGGACGATTCAAAGGTAAAAATATACCATTAAGTATAAAGTTTATAAATACATATTTGGATTTAGTAAACAAACATTTATTGAGATAACTTTATTGTAAATAAATATAAATGAATTCAAGTTCTACAACTATAAACCTAAAGGCACAATCTGTGTTGGATAATAGGCCCTTTCATGATTGCTAAAGTTAGCTAATTTCACAGAAATATTAGCTCTTCTCTGAATTTAAACTTTTTTGAATACCAGGCTAAAGCCCTCCTCTATTCTTTTATTTGACAATATAGTAAATAAATAAAATATTTATAAAAAACCTTGAAAATAAATCAGTAGGCTTAAGTTTCTATCTTGGGCTAATTACTACAGGCTACATAAAGTTGGGATAGTTATTATATCTATTTGGTCCTCACTCTCTAATCCACTAAATAGAAGATTGGTAAAAGTAAACTTGTAGGTCTTCTTGCTCTAAAATAATATGATTTTATGATCCATTCATTTTTTTTGCAAATGTTTTATTTTATTATTATTATTTAAAATATATTTTATTGATTTTACATAGAGAGGAATTGAGAGGGATAGAGAGTTAGAAACGTCAATGAGAGAGAAACATTGACCAGCTGCCTCTTGCACACCCCCTACTGGGGATGTGCCCACAACCAATGTACATGCCCCTAACAGGAATCGAACCTGGGACCTTTCAGTCCATAGGCCGACGCTCTATCCACTGAGCCAAACCGGTTTCGGCGTTTTTGCAAAAGTTTTAAAAATAATTAACTTAAAACTTTAACTATATTTTCCAAATATAGATTATAATACACAGCTTTCTTAGTACTAAAATCCCCATATATAAAAAATCCTGATTCATTATAATTCATAACTTTTGCTAAATCATAGAAATTATAGGAAATTACAATAATATCTCAGAAAACAGTAAAACTGGATTAAAAAAAACCACCGAAAGTATTTGGTTTTATAAATCAAGAGAAGATAGAATATCTTTTTCTAAAACATACAATGCTAGAAATAATTATGTAAAAAATTTTACAAATTCAGATTACAGTAGGTGTTCAGTTATGTCGGAGATCCATTCCTATGGCGTGAAGTAACGTGCTTTTCGGCCGTAAGTCAGAAACCACCTACATAAGCACCCACGTCACTCACATGGAGCAAATACACAGCAGTAATGAAGTGAAACAGTAAAAAAAATTTAAAAGAAAGATAACAATTCCTGACCTTTAATTGTGGTGAATAAATAATAAAAACATAAAGCACATATGTCAAAATAACGGAACTTTTTTTTTTAAATAAATAAATGGGAGATGGTGATGTTACCTGAGGACTGCCTATATTTGAGAAACATGAGATTGTATTTTACTGCATAAAATGACAGGATTAATAAGGCATTGCTCAAGAGATTGCTCAAAAACTCAGTCTTAACATATATCAGAAGAATAATTAGAATTGTCATATATGTAAGTGTATATTCCTTAAGAAGTTTAAGTATGTTAAAAATTCTACTTATAAATCATTTATACAGTTTTGATACAAACTATCCATGCATAAAATTTTTGCTATAGGTAATATATTTTAAATTAAGGTTTTATTATATTTCTAATTTCAATGTGTTTAAATGTAGAAATATTTTGAGAAAACATACCTGATTCTTGCATTAATATACCAGAATTGAATAATGCTAGCTTATGTTTTGGATTTAGTTCTAAAGCACGATTAAAGTTTTTAAGAGCTTCATTTGGTTCTTTAAGTTCAATCTGAACAATTGCCAAGTTATACCAAAGATCTGCATTATTTCTGTCCAACTCCAGTGCTTTAAGATATGCTTCTTTTGCTTTGAAAGGTTTATTCATTTTTAAAAGCAATTCTCCTCTGTGGAAAAATCAAGCACAAGCTTTAGTTACAACATTGCCATGTCAGTTTATAGATACTATTTTTCACAAATTTTAAGCTTTTCCATATTTTCACAGCTTTCTTTTTTCCTTTTAACTGAGGTTCTTAAAGTTTTCATTCAAAATGATCACCTGGCCAAAGCAATACTGAGAAAAAAGAACAAAGCCAGAAGTATCACACTCTCTGACTTAAAACTATACTACAAAGCCACAGTAATCAAAAACAGTACACGGTGCTGGCAGAAATGGAATTGACAGTCCAAAAATAAACCAAATATATATGGATAACTAATTTTCAAAAAAGGAGCCAAGAATATACAATGGAGAAAGGAAAGTCTCTTCAATAAATGGTGTTGAGAGAATTGGAAAGCCATATGCAAAAGAATGAAACTAGATTACTATCTTACATCACAAACAAAAACTGACTCAAAATGGATGAAGACTGGAACGTAAGCCCTGAAATAATAAAATAAATAGAAGAAACTATAGGCGCTAAACTTATAAACCTTAATGTCAAAAAGTTTGTGAACTAGACCCTAACCTTAAGGAAAGTAAAAGCAAAAATAAAGGAACAGATCTACCACAAACTAAAAAACTTTTGCATAGCAAAAGAAAACAAAAAATCTGCCAAAAAAAAAAAAAAAAAAAAAAAAAGGGCAATCAACTGAATGGGAGAAGATATTTGCAAACAATATCTCCAAAAGGAGTTAATATCCAATATATATAAAGAACTCACACAACTTAACAGAAAACCATCCTATTAATAAATCAACTAGCTACCCATACGGCAAACAGATATATGAAAAGCTATTCAACATCACTAGTTATTAGGGAAAGGCAAATCAAAACCCATTGAGATTACCACCTCAACACCTGTTAGAATCCTATCTAATAAAAGAGTAATATGCAAATTGACTGTACCTCTGCTACATCCACAAGCCATGCCCATCAGCCAATCAGGAGCAAGTATGCAAATAAACCCAACCAAGATGGCTGCAGCCATGGGAGCAGGAAGGAGGCTTGGGTTTCCCCGACAATGGAGGCCTAGGCAGCCTACCCTTGCCTGGCCCAGGCATCCAATCAATAATACAAAGTTTCAATTACAGAAGATAAATAAATCCCCCCAAAAATGATGGCAGCCACAGAGCTGGAGAGACCAGGAGGCTTGAGTTGCTACTGGAGATGGAAGAAGCCAAGCTTTCCACCTGGCCTGGCTGACCCAGACCTTCACTCTAGGCTACAAAGTTTCAATTATAGAAGATAAATAAATCCTAGATAATAGGGCCTCCGCTTGGGTTGCCAGGGTGTGTGGCCAGCCTGCAAATCACCACAGACTCTTCACCCAGGCCACAAGGGAACCCCCACCCAGAATCAAGACACCCTTCAGGGCAAACCAGCTGGCCCCCACCTATGCACCAGGCCTCTATCCTATCTAATAAAAGAATAATTTGCAAATTGACCATATCTCCGCTATACCCACAAGCCATGCCCATTAGCCAATCAGGAGCAAATATGCAAATAAACCCAACGAAATTGACTGCGGCCAGAGAGCAGGAGGGAAGCTTGGGTTTATCCAGCAATGGAGGAAGCCAAGCTTTCTGCCTGCCCTGGCTGGCCCAGGCCTTCACTGCAGGCTACAAAGTTTCAATTATAGAAAATAAATAAATCCCAACAAAAATGGTTGCAGCCACAGACCCCGCTCAAGGCTACAAAGCTTCAATTATAGAAGATGAACAAATCCTAGATACCAGGGTCTCCAGTTGGTCACCAGGGGTATGTGGCCGGCCTGAAAACCAGGCCCCTCACCCAGGCTGCCCCACACCCCAAGGGGACCCCCACACTCCAGGACACCCTTCAGGGCAACCCAGCCAGTCCTCACCCATGCACCAGGCTCTATCCTATCTAATCCTATCTAATAAAATAATAATATGCAAATTGACCATCACTCCAACACACAAGATGGCTGCCCTATGTGGTCAAAGATGACTGCCCCCATGTGGACATAAAATGGCCATCACAAGATGACCAGCAGGGGAGGGTAGTTGGGAGGAACTAGGCCTACAAGGAAGGGCAGCTGTGGGCGATTAGGCCTGCAGGAGAGGGCAGTTAGGGGTGACCAGGCCAGCAGAGGAGGAAAGTTGGGGGTGACCGGACCTGCAGGAAAGGGCAGTTGGGGGAGACCCAGGCCTGCAGGGGAAGGCAGTTAGTTGGGACCAGGCCTGCAGGGGAGGGTAGTTAGGGGTAAACAGGCTGATAGGGGAGCAATTAGGCAACAATCTGGCTGGCAAGCAGAAGTGGTTAGGGTCAATCAGGAAGGTAGGCAGGAGGGTAGTTGGGAGCCAGCAGTCCTGGATTATGAGAGGGTTGTCCAACTGCCCGTTTAGGCCTGATCCTACTGGGATGGGGCCTAAATGGGCAGTCAGACATCCCTCGAGGAGTCCTAGATTGGAGAGGGTGCAGGCTGGGCTGAGGGACACCCTTCACGCCCATGCACAAATTTCGTGCACCAGGCCTCTAGTGGCTATTATACAATAAAAAGACAAGAAATAACAAGAGTTAGAGAGGTGAAGATAAGGGAAAGCTTATACACTGTTTGTGGGAATATAAATTAGTGCAGCCATATGGAAAACAGTATGGAAGTTTCTCAAAAAATTAAGACTAGAACTATATAATCCAGCAATTGCTCTTCTGGATATTTACCTGAAAAATATGAAAAAAAAAACTTATCTATATCTATATTTCTATTTACAATAGCTAAGACCTGGAAACAATCTATTTATATATATTACTCAACCATAAAAAGAAACAATATTGCATTTGTGATAACACAGATGAATCTTGACAGTATTATGTTAAATAAAATAAGTATAATTTCACTCATACATGGAATTAAAACAAAAAGCAATAAACAAATAACAAAAGAAAAAAAACTCAGATACAAACAACAGAATGGTGGTTGCTAGAGGGAGAAGAGGTTGGTTGGGGGAAGGGTGAAGTGGGTAAAGGGGTTAAATATATAAGGATGGAAGGAAACTAGAGTATACAGATGTCAAATTATAATCTTGTACACCTGAAAATTACATAATATTATTAACCAATATTACCCCAATAAGTTTAATAATAACAATAATAACAGAAAAAGAAAAAAAAAAAAAAACCCTACCAGAAACTGTCCTCAAACATGAAGTCTTAGGCTTGGCAAATATGACTTGATATGTTTTCAAATATTACTTAAAAATAAGCATGCCTGACTTTAGAGAGTTAAGATGTGGGAAGGTATTCACAGAAAAGTATATACTTTGAATATAACTTGAAAGGAATCAGACTAGAGTACTTCAGAAAAATAATAGCTATCAGAGTGGGAGATAATTTGTCAGAAAACGAGGTGATAGCATTTTAAGAAAGAAAAGAAAAACGAAGTGATGGGGCATTTTAATATATGTTTTTACTATACAAAAAATAGAACATTAGAAAAATTTTAACCCTTCTTATCTTCTATGCATTCTTTAAATATTTTTATTTTATTGATATTTTTTTTTACAGAGGAAAAGGGAAGGGGGGAGGAGAGAAACATGGATGTGAAAGAGAAACATGGATCGGCTATCTCCCGACCAGGATATCAAACATGCACCTTTTGAAGTAGGGGATGACACTCCATCCAAGTGAGCCAGACAGGCCTGGGGGAGGATTCTTATAAAATGATCACTCACTGGGGGGAGGAGTAAGAATTAAAAAAGCTGATGTGGAAGGGGTGCTGGTGCCACCTGCAGATATCTTTGAAAATCATTGCTGATATTGAGGACCACAATTTGAAAACTATTGTATTTTATATATCTTTCTAATATGGTTCTATTTTCTGTAAGAGAGTTTAAAGCATCATTTTGATTAAGTACATATTAATATATGCAAATCAATTTAAGCAATGATATAAGAGGACTCTTATGATAATATTCTTTCCTAAAGTATCAGCATAGGAATGAAATCAAATGAATGATTATTAGTATTCTTTTTTTTGTTGTTGTTGTTAGAACTCAGCAAAAATAATATACCCATTTATTATTGGACAACATTGTTTCACACATACATCAAACAGGCAAAAATAAATAAATAAATAAATAAATAAATAAATAAATAAATAAACAAAGAAACAAACAAATAGCAACTTCATAGACAAAAAAAGGGAAAAAAAGAAACCTTTTTATCTTTGGCCTTTTAATCATTTCATACAAACCTAATATTTATAGTATAGTAAGTACATATACAAAAAGTTATTGAAATGCTTGGAATAAGATTATTTTTTGTTATCAATCTTGCTTTTTTTTTTAACAACGTTTTTTTCCTATTAATATTCTTGATTAGGGAAATTTTAGATGAGTATTTGTCTAAAATGTTATCTTTTTATGAAGAGACTGTTAAATAATTCTTTATGTATTAACAGAAGAAAGATTTACAGATACAACCCCACTAAACCTAGAGAATTTCAAAAAGCACTGGATAAGGCTGAACAAAGATGGCTCCCAAATAATCTCGAGATAAAAAACTTACTAAATTCTGAATGCATTTTCCCTAGAGAAACAATGCCATAAATTATGACTAGGTATTTGGGCCAGGCTAAAAAACAAAGTTTAGCACACTACTTTCCTCAAGTATAATACAAACAATTACACTTATATGGGAAAATATATCAAGTTCTAACATATGATACCAAAAACTTATTTTTAATGACAACTAAAAAGTTTCTTTATGGTAAAGACATTAATAACCAGTCAACTCGCAGCATTTCTTTAAGAAAGCTTCTGAGAGTTAGATATTAAAAGTATTAATTATAAAATGTAAGTTTTGGGTGTTTTACATAAAATAAATTTGGTGATAAGAAACAAATGAAACTAAGGAGCTTCTTTCATATAAAACCTAAAGTTTGCTAATATAAGTTATGGACTCCCCTGCCAATTTCAAATCAATTTAATTTTGACTGCTAGTCCAAAATGGGCTGTTTCTATGTTAATTGCAACTAAGATTGTGGAGGGGGAAAAGCTAATTTAGTAAAAATAGTAAAAATGTAACATGCAGATAGATGCAGCTTCAATCTTCTATAACAATAGCTTAAATGACCTAATATACCTGCTAATGTAAGCCTGTTTGAAGTCAGGTCTCATGCTTATTGCTTGTCGATACAGCTGATCAGCTTCTTCTAGCCGAGACTCATCTGCTCGGATCAGATTGGCCAGATTAATATAAACGTTGAGGTGGTTAGGGGCAATTCTGGCTGCATATTTTTTACCAGGAATAATCTGTTCAAAAGAAAAGGCATTTCCATAAATTGATATTTCATTACCATATAAAAGTAAAAATAAAGTAGGCTTAGTAGCTTATTTAAAATGTACACAGAATATAAAAAGACAATGCTATTATATATATAGTCAGAGCATATAAAATAATAATTTCTTGCACTAAAGAATACATTTTTTTCATTCTTGCCAGCTTAATAGAATGAAGTCATACAAATCAGGACTTTTACAGGTTAAGGTATCAGTATGTTTATGTCAGACTAGGAACAGAACTCAGGGCTCTTTTCTGTCTAGTGAAACCATGTCAACTTTCATGTTTTCAGCAAAATATTTATTTACTGGTTGTGACAATAAGGTGGTTAATTGTATTTCATAGTTTTACTAAAACCTCACTTGTCTGGGGGAGTTAGGAAATAAAATAATCTTATCAATTGATTATTCAGGTTAAATAAACATTATCATAAATAATATATAGACCCAAATTTTCAATGAACAGAATAAATTATATATGATAAAAATCCACACTGAACACAATTTAACTTTAGAATCTTAGAAATTATTTCTTAAGTATCATGTGGTCTAATTTGTTCTTAAAACATTTATCAAACCATTCATTTTAATATTACTACTATTATTAATATAGTATTATATTAATATAGTAATATATACTACACTCAAGAAAACTGTAGCCAGAGTAAACCAACCTTTCTGATGATGCATAGTTAGGTCAAGGGCAAGATCAGATTTTCCAAAATATCGAGAGAATCTTGTATCATAACAACTGATGGACACAATATAGCAAGAGATATATTCATTTTGTTTTATTCATTTATTTTTTTGGTAGGACTAATGATAAATTTAGTGCTTAGTGTACATACATACAATTTTCTTCATCCAAAGTAATTTAACTCATTGATAACTTGTAATAAAAATATCAAAAATTCATTAACTATGAATTTAGTTTTTATAGACTATATAAAAATTTTTTTTAATTGAGCTAGAAAAGTCTATTCCTTTATTATACTTATGTATAATAAATAGACGGTTCATTGTACACCTTACTTTTATATCAACTGAAGGAAAGACAAGGATTTTCCATCTAGATAATTTTATTCAATATGGATATTTAATAGACATGGCACAACAGGAATAAATGATGATAACTTACTTGAGGCATCAGTGACTTGGCTGTCATGTAAGATTCTTCAGCTTCTTTGGTTCTATTTAAATTTTTGTAAGTTCTTCCTACATTCATGTGGGCACCAATATCATCTAAAATTTTAAAGAAATTATTTGTTGACAAATATGTGAAAAAGAATTCAATGTAAACTACTAAGAGGACATATTTCTTGCAACAAAAACAATAGCAAAAAATGCAAAAGCATGCATTCCTCCTCAAAGTTCTTATAATACAACTTTTATAATTTATGATCAATGCTATACTAGCAAACTATTAAATAAAGTACTGTAGCCGAAACCGGTTTGGCTCAGTGGATAGAGCGTCGGACAGAAAGGTACCAGGTTTGATTCCAGTCAAGGCCATGTACCTTGGTTGTGGGCACATGCCCAGTAGGGGCTGTGCAAAAGGCAGCTGATCGGTGTTTCTCTCTCATCGATGTTTCTAGCTCTCTATCCCTCTCTCTTCCTCTCTGTAAAAAATCAATAAAATATATTTTTTTAAAAATAAAGTACTGTAAAGTCAGAAAATACACATATAACATGAAAAAACTATCTGAATGCACCCTTGATGGATTAAGACATGAGAAGAAAAAGAGGTAATGAAGAAATGTACATCACTTTTGTTCACTGTGTTTTAATATACCATACTAAGGCTTGCTTCCATTTCCTAAGCTCAGAGCTTTGGTATTTACTCAAAAAGTGTGGCTCAACTAACTGTAAAAGTACAAAGGATATACAAGTAAAAAGAATAATCATAATCCCTAGAATTATTTTCAGTGTTGTAACTAATAAATATGCCATGGTGGGACAGGGGCAAAGAGATAAGAAAACACTTTGTGACTTTATTTTCTAAAATGTTTGTGAAATGTGGCTGGAATGCAAGTATTATATAATACTACTTAATATGCAGCAGCCGATCGCTCTTAACTGATGATAAATTCCTATTAATTTATTTAAAACTTTTGGAAAGTTTTAAATATCAGAATGTCAGAAAATTGCCTAATTTTCTGATGCAGAAAATTAAATCCTAAGCTAATTTATTCAGTAGAAAAACGTGCGAATATAATAAAAGATATGAGAGTTTCAGATACATTTCCCAGTAAATATTTCAGAGGTCTGGAATAAAGACAGAAAGAAGGGAGGAGATCTTAAATGAGACAAATTTTAGCCAACATGAATCTCTAACAGACATGACAAGGTTTCAAATTGTGATTACTACTTGCCTGTGATACTGATGATTTTGCAATTGTGGAATAGGTCTCTGCCTGCAACTCCCAGGACACATAGGGGCCAAGCATATATATCTTAGGCATTCCCCTAGGAGGAGAGTAACAGTCCTAAGATCTTATTACATTATGTTTCAGGCTGTCAATTGTGTGCACTGCACCAACATGGTCAGATGCAGTACAGGTTTGATTAGAGAACTAGGACAAGATTGGGAAAGAGATTGATTTCAGTTTTTAGATGTATTACTGAATCTTATGGGATCTCAGGAGGTGGGGTTTAAAAAAAAAAAAATGCTTAGGCCAACCATTCCCAATCCTGCTTTTAAAATTTTTATCTTAGTCCCACACAGCTCTATCCAAATAGAATTTTCAAGGGTAGAATCTTCAAAATTGTCTTTAAAATGTTAAAAGGCAATTTTGATGTAGAGCCAAGGTTGAAATTACTGCATTACCAAGTGCACACAACAGGTAGTCTTTGCTTCTATATAGCTCAATTTTTTAAAACATTAGATAAACTTATGCCACTTACTATAGAGATCAGCAATGTAGTCAGGCACTACTAAGAATATGTAAAACCTGAAAAAATTAGTTTAGATTAAAAAAAGTGTAAGTATTTATAATGTTACTAAAATTAGTTCTAACTAATCTTAAAAAAAGATTATCTATTTGGATGAAAAACTAGGAAATGGCTACCCACTGGAATCAAATCTCAGAATTATAGAGAGGAGATACTGTCATCAATGAAGATTTCAGACACTAGAGTAAGCAGCCCCACTTCCTCAAAGAATAAATGATAGCAATTAGATAGACTTTAGCATCAAAAGGATTACCCAATACAGCTAATAAAATGACATAAGTTACAAAGTTTTAGGATTGCAGAGGAGGAAATAGCATTACTGGTAAGACATTTAAATGTATTTATTTATTTATTTATTTATTTATTTATTTATTTATAATTTTTTGTGAAGAGGTAAGAAAAGCAAACAAGATGTAAAATTCTCTAATATTTAAATGACTAAAACGCTATAGAATTTCAAAGAACAATCTTGCTATTATGAGTGCACTATCTGGGCCAGCAGCAGCAGTCTGTCTTTAATTCAATGTAAAGAAAGAATGGCAAGTGTCAGGCAGCTCAGAGCCTAATGATTCCTCAGCCACCAACAATGAAGCTGAGCATTCCCACACTGAGGGTGAGGCATGTGTGTTGCTTCCCAGTATTTCCTATTCAAAACTTGTCTGTCAATGCATTTATAAAGGTAAATTATAAACATATGGAAACTCCTAAAAACTTTTTAAAAGTCATTTATTTCCATCTTGATGGCATCCAAGTTGAATAACAGGTCCTTGATTCTTTTCTGATATAAACAATTTCAAAGATTTGGACTTAGATAAAAACAAAATTATTTTATGGCAAAATTATTTTGTGGTTCATGAGAAATATCTATCCTTGTCTTGTAAAGGTGTTTATGGAAACTGTAATTCCAACTGCAAAACTTCTATCTTTGCAAAACTTTTATCTTTTTAAACAATTGTAACCAGCAAAACAAAACATAAGAAAACAAAAAAGGGCCGAAGCCGGTTTGGCTCAGTGGTAGAGCGTCGGTCTGTGGACTGAAAGGTCCCAGGTTCGATTCCAGTCGAGGGCATGTACATTGGTTGCGGGCACATCCCCAGTAGGGGGTGTGCAAGAGGCAGCTGGTTGATGTTTCTCTCTCATCGATGTTTCTAGCTCTCTATCTCTCTCCCTTCCTCTCTGTAAAAAATGAATAAAATATATTTAAAATTACAATTAATGCTATCCTTTAAAAAAAAAAAAAAGAAAACAAAAAAGGCAAACAGTTGTTCATATAACATGATATGCATATCCCATGGTCCAAGTATATTGTATAGTTTATATTTTCATTCTGGCTAAGCAAGAAAAGCTTTCTGACTAATTTGTTTTTTAAGTTAACTTTACAATATTACAGATTCCTACTCTGTGCAATGCTATACTGTTCTAGGGTTTGAACATTATATTTATATTTGTTACTCCAAAAGTTTATATCTAGTCTTGATTTTATCTCCAGAATTATAACTCTATATCAGTATATCTAACAGGGACGAAAAAGGACTTCTGACTCTCCTCTGTATGTGTCATTTCATTTGTCAAATCTAAGAAGAGCATAGCAAGAAAACAAAGACTAGTCTGAGAAGCCCCTGAATGACAAATTCAATGTTTCTAAGTATGTCTATTTTTTCATAATAAATTGCAACATACTGGTTTACCTGTTTTCTTAGACCATGGCTTATTAGAAACAGCAATTTTGAGAGTATGATAGGGAAGTCATACTAAAGGAGAGAGGTTCAGCAAGAACCTCAAAATCAGCAAAAAAGTAATAATTGACAATGAAAGGAAAAGTTATTTTAAAACAGTGCCTCTATCTGGCAACATCCTATAATAAGCATTCTACTTATTAAATAAAATTAAACATACTCATAAACACTGTTACACTATTTAATTTAGTCTTTACAGCAATGCAATGAGAAAGAATGACTGTCCCGATTTAGAAATGAGATAAAGCTGAAGGGGCTTAAATAACATCTTTTAACCTCTCTGCTACTCAAAACCTCTAAGAGACTTTATTAAGTAAGAAATTAAAACTACTACAATTATGACCATTGACCGTGGCTAAGACCATGCTAGATAATGCAGAAGGTAGGGTATGAAGATGAGTAAGATGTTCATGCTGCCCCAAGAGAGTTCCTCAGTTTAAATAGATAAATATTTTTTTTTATAAATAAACAGAAATAAATATGATATAGTACTAAATAGAAAATTACAACTATCACAAGAAAGACTGAAGTTACAAAAAGTTTTAAAGACAAGCAATATGACCCAGAAAGAAGCTCATTACAGACTGATTCATATGCCTTTCAGCATAACCATTATTGCTTGCCTCATTTTTGATTCTTGTAAGTTTATTTCCAGTAGGACATGATCTCACTCATCTAGGGGAAATGGTGAACATAGACTGATGAACAAGAACAGATCCAGAGATAAGGAGCCATGGGTCAGACTGTTGGACCTCAAAGGGAGGATGGGGATAAAAGGGAGAGATCAACCAAAGGACTTATGTGCACACATATGAGCCTAACCAGTGGTCAAGGACAATAGGGGGGTGGGGACATAAATGGTGAGAGGAGGAGGATTGGAATGGGGGGTTGAGGACAAATATGTGATACCTTAATCAATAAAGAAAATAATTAAAAAAATAAAGACAAGCAATATTTGCTTCTAACAAAATACAGGGTTGTTTTTGTTTTCTATAAGGAAGCCAAGTAAGAAGGGTTGTAAAAGATGGGTAGGATGAGGTACGAGATGGATGGGAAAGAGGGGAGAAGTGAAGAATTTAGATTCAAAGAAGCCGAGGTGAGGAAATCCGAGATATGCATCCTATGTTTTGAGAAAAACAAAACTATACAGAGAGCCAGGGAAGATACGATTGAGTAGCTAGATCTTCAGTTATATTTTTACAAAGTTCCTCGTCATCATTCTCTAACTGACACTTGGCTTTGCCTTGGGGACTTTACACTGTGGCTTTTCCAAGCGGTGCCGTGTTCTTCTATCCCATGCAGCTCTGGGCAAGGAGGAAGGGTAGGTGTCCTCTTTGAGCCTTACCACCCCAGACCATTCCTACTCCTTTTAAAAATCAATCATCTCTAAATTTCAGATCAATAAATTGTATTGTCTACTATCTCTCCTTGTTGCAGTACCAATCTTTGGGTCAGGTATCCTGACTCGTCGTCATTCTTTCCATCATCATGGTTGTAAAAATTCTTAGTGATTTCAAATTTACGTGAACAAAATCTTCTACCAAGTGGCCTTGATGTCTTTTCTCCCAAGGATTTTCACCTCTGGCCACTCCCTATGCCTCCAAGAACCTTTAGAAATGTGTGTGCGTGGGGGGACTTTTTGGTCATCATTCTGAATGGAAATTATGGTATTTTGTGTGTGGGGGTCACGTTTGATACATATCCTAAAAAGCAGTTCTGCACACTTGAGCAGCATTCCTACTGAAAGATATTTATACTCTAGCTCGATTCTACCCAGACACCAAAACTTTCCAGGTCTATAAACCTATCATCTTCCCTCCATTATTTCACCCTTCCTCACATCCTTAACTGTCTTAGATTTTGTGTCCCATCAATATAACCATCTTCTTATGCCTTTCTTGTTTAAAAATACATAGGACAAAATCCTAATTCTAGCTAACCAAATTCTTCATGCCTGTACCACTGCAGCAGCAAAGTAGTAGGAGACAAACATACAACCACATCAACTGGTTTAGTGTTAATTTCAGTATTCCAACCCAAGTAGAAAAACTTGGCTGCTTGGCAATTATACCACATTTTCCTAGTCTATACACTTTCTTAGACCTTTGTTTCTAAAAGTGTGATCCACAGGCTAAGCACCACCTGTAAATAGAAATGTAGAACTTCAGGTTCTACTCCAAACCTTCATTTATCAGAACAAGCACCATACACAACAATATCTCCAAGTGATTCTTAGGCCCATTGAAGCTTGTAAAGAACTACCTAGAAAACTGCTTCACACCTTTTCCTATTCTTATATTTCCAACACTTCCCCCTCCTTCTTCACTCTCTACTGATGGTTTTATTTCATTGAAAAAATACCAACAAAGGGCACCTTCCAGAAACTTCCTGCATGTCATCTATTCACCTGCCCATATTCATGTCCATATATTCTATCTTCCCTGTTACCAGGTTTAACTAGTGGTTCCACACTGAATCAAGTCCCTAATCTATATACCACGTCCTATTTATCTCTTCTCATCTACTCAAGAACATTGACCCCGTAATTCGTTCCCTCCCCTTGAATTATTACTTTTCCCAGCTTCAATAGATTTAGCTGCACACATGCTTTGACTCTCCCACCTTAAAATGAAAAACAAAAAAAACACAAAAAAATCCTACCATGGTCTTGTGACCCCAAGCCTAGCACCACTGTTTCAGAGTTTTCATTACCAACAATTTCCAATTATTTCCCCACCTAAACTCATTCCTATAAGGCTTTTGCATCTACCACTCTACCAACAACTCCACTGTTTTTTAAAAATTCTATTTTTTGGTGTCTTTATATATATATTATTGATTTTTTACAGAGAGGAAGGGAGAGGGAGAATTAGAAACATCGATCAGCTGCCTCCTGCACACCTCCTACTGGGGATATGCCTACAACCAAGGTATATGCCCTTGACCAGAATTGAACCGGGGACCTTTCAGTCCGCAGGCCGACGCTCTATCCACTGAGCCAAACTGGTTAGGGCCTTCTTCAATATTTTTAAATAATGTCTTCCAGTTATCAGTATATAGGTCCTCCACACCTGTTGTTAAGTTTGTTCTGAGGCATTTAATTCTTTTTGTTGGAATTGCAAAAGGAATTGTATTTTTTTCCTTTTCTGAAATTTCATAGGTAATAAACAGGAATGCAATGGATTTTTATGCATTGATTTTGTATCCTGCAGCTTTACTGTATTTGCTTATTGTTTCTAATAGTTTTTTAGTGGAGTCTTTAGGATTTTCTATATAGTCATGTTGTCTGCAAAAAGCAACAATTTTATTTCTTCATTCTCAATTTGGATGACTTTTCTTTCTCTTGCCTGATTGCTCTACTTGGACTTACATACTATGCTGGATAACAGTGATAAGAATGAATTTCCTTGTCTTGCTCCTAATCTTACAGGAAAATATTTTGTCTCTCACCACTGAGTATGATATTAGCTGAGGTTTTGTCATATATGGCCTTTATTATGTAGTACTTTCCTTCTATACCTGTGTTGGAGAGGTTATGGAGAAAAAGGAAACCTCATTCACTAGGAATGTAAACTGGTACAGATACTATGAAAACAGGATGGAAGTTCCTCAAGAAATTAATACTATAGCTACTATATGAGCCAACAACCCCTCTTTTGTGTATCTGCCTGAAAAATTTGAAAACATTTATTTGTCAAGTTATATACACCCCAATGTTCATTGCAATGTTATTCATGATGGCCAAGACATGGAAATAATCAGTGTCCTTCAGTAAATGATTGGGTAAAGATGTGGTATATATACATAGTGGGATACTACTCAATCATTTGCCATTTGCTACAGCATTAATGAATCTTGAGTGTGTCATGCTAAGCAAAATAAGTCAGACAGAAAAAGCCTAGACCCATATGAATTCACTCATATGTGAGATATAAAACTGAGAGCAACAAAACATTTTTTTCTAAGGTTGTATTACTGTCCAATGTGTAAAAAAGAAACAAAACTGAAAGAAACACATGAACATGACAAACAAACAAACAAACAAACGCTGGTAGACAGAGACAACAATATAGTGGTTGCCAGAGGGAAGGGAGGGGAGGTGATAAAGGCTAAAAGGTGTCAAATATTCTGTGACTGAAGAAGATTTGGCTTTGGGTAGTAAACACACAATGCAACATACAGATGATATAGAAATATACACTTGAAACCTATGTAATTTTATTAACCAATGTCATCCTAATAAACTTAATAATAAAAATTCCTTAAATATCTTACATATTTCTAACAATTAATCAAATTCAAAATAAGCCAGTATTGAACACTGGTAGTATTCAAATCACTGGAAATAAAGCTTGAAAATAAACTCAACTCTATTTTCATCACACATAACTGAGCTTTTAAAAAGAAAATAAGCTATTCTAATAGTTTTATTAGTAATGCTTACCTGGCTGAACATGGGTAGCCTGTAGAAAGTATTTCAAAGCTCTCTCAAAGTTCTTTTCGTTTTCCAGAGCATGACCCACATTATTCCATAATTTGGCATTATTTTTATTAACCTTAAATACACAAATACAGTTAGAAATTAATTAAAATTAAAATATGACTCAAATTAACACAGGTATTTGTTTGCTATACTATTAGAAATGGAGCGGCCCATGGAGATGTCCATAAGGGATGAAGGTGGCCCAAAAGTACACACTTTCAATTATAAGGTAAGTTAGTTTTGGGGACGTAATGTGCAACATGGAGACTATAGCCAACAACACTGTGTTGTATATTTGGAAATTGGTAAGGGAGAAGATCTTAAAGGTTTTCATAATGAGAAAAAAATGTCTAAATGTGTAAGATAATGTATATTAACTAAACTTTTAATCATTTCATAATATACACATATTTATACATCTTAAATAAGAAGTTTATGTTAATTATATCTCAAAAGGAAAAATATATATTTTTTAAAACATAGTTCTGTTTTTTTTAATATATTTTATTGATTTTTTACAGAGAGGAAGAGAGAGGGATAGAGAGTTAGAAACATCGATGAGAGAGAATCATCTATCAGCTGCCTCCTGCACATCCCCTACTGGGGATGTGCCCGCAACCAACGTACATGCCCTTGACCGGAATCGAACCCGGGACCTTCCAGTCTGCAGGCCGACGCTCTATCCACTGAGCCAAACCGGTTTCAGCGGGAAAAATAATTTTTATTTTCTCCCAGAAAAAAATAATGATTCCAATTAACACAGATATTTGTTTGGTATACTATTAGAATACAGTGTTCCACTGAGAGGCCCCTGGAGATGAGGAATAAGCCAAATGAACACTTCTTCACTCAATTTACCCTCTCTCCTTTCAATATCAACATACTAAAACCACAGCAGTCTAAGTTCATCTATCTCTCTATATAAAGAGCCAGGGTGGTAACATCCAAAACAATTGAAGACTTGACTGAACACCAGGCTGAACATGCAGCAGGCTAGCAGACTGAAATGCTAACCTCTCGAAGACAGAGAGAGGCAGAGCTGATCAGCAGTGGTAGAGGCTGCTGGCAAGGCCCAGACAGAGAAGTAGGGTGATCAGACCCTGCTTCTCTCTCTGGGCCTCTCCAGCAGTTAAGCGCCTCTCTCCCCCCCACAGGTCAGCAGTTCAGCCTGCTCAACCAACAGCCTGGGGCAGCTGCTGATCAGCCCTACCTCTATGATCATGTCAGAAGATAGGCCCGAAGATGTTGACTGGCATAGAAACCAACCAATCAGAACCAGCAGGCAGGAGGGTTGGGGCAATCAGGCAGGCAGGCAGGTTAGGAGCCAGTCGTCCTGGATTGCAAGAAGGATGTCTCAGGGATCAGGCTTAAATTTGACAACTGGACATCCCTCGAGGGGTCTCAGATTGGAAAGGTTGCAGGCCGGGCTGAGGAAGCCCCATTCATGCACGAATTTCGTGCACTGGGCCTCTAGTTTTATATATTCAAATTTTACTAAAAATTTTATTAATCAAAGTATAGTGCTATTTGAAAACTCTGCAGTACTACTTGTATTCTTTTGGAAGAAAAGGTATGTGACTATGAGAATACATTTAAACATTGCACTAATTACTTACTTACTTTTTGGCTGGACTTATTTATGTAGTCTATTACTGTAAGAGAACCCTGAGTCTAAAGTTCTAAGTTGATTTGTACTTTCGGAGTTTACAGATGGGCACGGTGTTACTGCAAGTAGAGGAGGGTATCTAGGAGGCCAAGGTACTAGCTACAGTGACTTTGGCTGTTGTTTTGAGCACTGTCATGTGAGTAAAAACAAGCAAAATTCCTGAAAACCATAGGGTTCGGTTCCATGGGTAATCTGAAGGGGGAATTAATAATAATGAAAATGAGGTCTCATCTGTTTGCAGATTTCTGAGCTAGGGAAGACAGTAAAGAGGACAGTCATTTGACCTTAAATAGATGTCAAATCAAGAAGTCACATAGACTATTGAAATGAGGCAGTGACCCAATAAAGTGAGGCTATGGAGAGTACTAAAATAGCCAAAAGGAAGTTAAGAATTACTGATTAGAAGAGAGGCATTGGCAAGGGAGCACCTGAAAAAAATCTTTGCTTGTAACTTTTATAGAAAACAAATTTTGTGATTTTTAAAAAGACCATATTCCTATTTCTATTGTTCATTTATAGGAATGCTATGTCAATCCTTTCTGCCAGTTTCTATCCTTCCTAAAGCATTTTAAAAAAATTTATCTTTATTGTTGAAAGTATCAAATATTACAGAGTTCTAATCATTGGTTGGTTATCTTCCACATAGTAGGCTGCCATTTTTTTGGTCAAGAATGTTATTTCAATGAATCTAACATGCCATCAATTTTATGTACTATTAAGAAAGAAAAAAGGTAACAAATTAATTGTAAGATGCCTTTCACTGTAAGATTTATTCTTATTTCAGAGGCATTAAAAGGTTAAAAAATGTGTACCTTAAGAACTAATGATCACAGAATTCTTATTGAAACATTTTATCATTTGAGTTTCTAATGACTTTATATCATTTAAGAAATTATTCATATGTGTTGTTGGACATACAGGTAAGTACTATTCAATGTACTGGTTAAGGTATATTATATAAAAAACAAACTATATAATTTTTTAGTGAATTAATATTGATAGTTAAATATCTAAAAGTAAAGGTAAAGCATCTTAGACATGGCTATAAAAAGTAATTGATGACATACTTTCCTGTCATTCTTGGATAATACTTTACCTTCAAGGCTGACATAAACAATGTATATTCTGATTCCCAATCCCAATTTCTGTGGATTGTTTTTAAGGCATGAGTGAATATCACCAAAGATAGACAAACCCAGGATAACTTTTTAAATACACTGTTTAAGAGAGTAAAGAAAAAACAAAAAAATTCTTTATATCACCCAAAGCATTTTATCTTTTAGAACAGAAGAAATGTTAAATACCCCCAATGTCTGAATTTATTCTAAAAATAGGGATTGTTCTAATAATCATTCTACTTCAGAGGGACCAACACCAAAAACTTAAATATGTAAATACTATCTTCCACTTCTTCACTCTTCAATTACATTAATACTACAATATTTACCTTTATTTCAAAAGCATTGTTTATATTTAATAAAAAGTTGATGAAACCAGCTTTTAATTATGAATTTTTATATTTAGAGTCCTTTTACCATTACCTACAACATGAATATCCTTACTTGCATTTAAAAAGGGTGAATCTTATCATTGGCTACATTTAAAGACATTTCTGCTTACAATTATATACTACAGGTTATCATGCATTCTTGGAATAATTTACATTTTAAAGCTAGAACTGTTTATTAAAAGTCATAGTAAACTTATAAAATAGATGTACATTACTTATATACTTTAGACTAATTATTTGGGACACAATTCCTTTATAAAAATATGATTATACTTCAATAAACCCTATGATCTCATTTAATACTAATATTCTCTAACTGTATTTTTGCCCAGTTCAACTTCTTTTATTTTGATGACACACTTAACCAGAATATGAGTGCATGCATCAGAAAGAACATGGAATAGAAAATAGTCAGATGCACATCTGAAGACTGCTATTTACTAGCTGTGTGATCTTGCATAATTCAGGTAACCTGTAATGATCCTTAATTTTAAAATGTGCAAAACAGAATTAATGAATGTCAAGAATAAAATAAGAAAATAAATCTAAACAATCTATCAGGGCACCTGACACATGATGGGCACTAAAAAATTGATATTGATTACAATAGGATATATGGGTCAAAACTAAGGGAAAAGGTTTGGTAGATAGTAATGTAAATTTTAGCCATAGAAGAGATCATCCAGGGAGAATATGTAATGTGATAAAAGTGGCTACGGTAGAACTCTGAGAAATAATAAATATTTAAAGAGCAGTCAGAGGAAGAAGAAATCAGAGAAGAGGGCAGAAATTAAAAGATATAAAAGAGAATGAAGAGAGAGAGACTTTTTACAGATGCCTGGGAAATAAATTTTAAATAAAAGCATTGACCAAATTTAGCTACCAGGAAGCAATTTGTTATCTGTGTTAATAGATAAGAGAGAAGTCAGAATTCTATGTGTTGAATGGTGACTGGAAGTGAGAAAGAAGAGACAGTGCCCATTTCTTGTATACATAGTTAACTATTCTGTTCCTTAACTGCTGTTAAGGCAATTACGACATGGTGGTTATGATGATGAAGACAGTCATCACAGCATGAAATTATAGTACTCACAATTATGAGTACACAAAACAGAAGTCATTCCAGTATTATTTATTAACTGTTATATTATTTTCCATGTGAACAATTGTAAACCTACTTTTTATATATAACTGTACATTTTACATATGACTCACTTAAGTAAGAAGATTATAGTTCATTGCATATAAAGTGGGAACTAAATTTAACTTTAGTTTCAATAATATCCTTGTTTTCATTTGGGTCTGACTCAAAGTTTATGTCTCAGGCTGCAAAATAAAATTATATAGATATGAAGAACATAAGATGCAGTAGATGCTATGGAGCTTTCCTAACTTGAATTACAGGAAAACGAGACTATCAAGATGAAAAACAAGAGATGTACAAAAGTATGATTTATAAAACTGAATTAAAATAAACATTTAAATACGTAAACGTATCACATTTGATTTTCTAGTTAGTAGCATGAAATAAGCTAATATTTAAATTCACCTCTTTTTTGATATTTTGTGCCATCCATGGGCTACCAAAATACAGAACCCCATGCTCGGAACATACAATACTCGTTCAGCAACAACAAATCCAACTGGGAAAAAAAGGTTCGATGCAGGAATAAATGGTAACGCCATTAAACAAAGTGCCTACAAAGAAAAAGAAGAAGATATTTCATTAAATTAAAAATATATGAACATTCAAGAATCAAATCCAAATATTTTGTCATTTAATTTGGAAATGTACTGGTGGTCAAAAAAAAAAAAAGTACTTTTAAAAGCCAATTTTTATGTTACTACTATTAGTAACCACATCATATTGGAAATTCATAAGGTGTGTTTCAGACAAGATAGCAGACTGTTACTTTTATATCTCAGCATTATTTTGCATTAGATTCTGATGAGTCACATACATGTAACATAGGCTTAGTATATGTTTAAGAATAAAACTGCCTCCCTTTAAAACAACAGTGTCTTAATCTTTTTTTTCTTCCTAAGACTTCTAAGAAATATTTACAAGAATGTCTTATATTTTAACTGAAATAAAACATCAAAAAATGTTTAGGTTTTATTTTTGTTTTTCATTATGAAAATGGGATGGCATATGGTTTTCAGGTTATAAAGCCATTACAAAAGGTAGGACACAAATAACTAGCACAGAAATAACTTGTAGAAGAAAACAAATTAGCTGTCATTAGAACATCTATTTCTATATACATATGATTCCATACATTGTTACCCTGATTTGTTTGATAGTGCAATTAAATAAGTAAGTAGTTCCTTCAGCTTTATAAGCGTGAGAGTCTTTTAATAGTTTGAGAGGAAAGAATATCAGTTTTTATAGCAAAATATAGTTGCAGATATGTATATATTAAAAAAATACTTTCTCCATGAATCACAAATGATTTATAATGAGGCAATATTAAATCTGAAGAAAAGCACTACCATCATACTGCTCACCACCAACTTATATATCTAAAATTTTAGTTTTTTTAAATAAAAAAGTAAAACATTAAGAGTGCATAGTTCATTTACATCTCCCAGAAGTACCCAATACAAATAACCAGCTAGCTGAGAAACAGAGATATTCCTAAATATGCAGTGCTTTAAAAAAAATTCCCTATTAATTCATGACTGTCCTAAAGCAATTTCATTCGAAAGAATAAGTATTAAATTGACCCAAAGATGCATCATGAACTGATACATAAACTACACAAAAAAGAAATCAACCCATAAATCTATTTGTTCTTAGGTAAGGAATATCTCCATTAATTATTAACTTAGAAATCCTAATATGCTCTCTATTAATGTATGCCAACCTAGTTCTCTATGACTAATATAATCTCCTTCCTCCAGAGATGTAAATTCTTTGAAAGGAAGAATGATTGTGGAAAGAACAAAGAGTTTGGAGACAAATTTGTGTCACTTTTTATTTCCTATGTAACATAAAGGTAAATTAATCAATTGACTACTTGCAACTGTTTATAAATACTACTTACATTTTATTATTGAGATACTTATGAAACTTTACTTAATCAGTGCTTAACAATAAAACCAAGAGCTGGTTCTATGAAAGGATAAACAAGTATAATGAACTTCTAGCCAGGCTCACCAAGAAGTAGAGAGAGAGGACCCAAATAAACAAAATCAGAAATGAAAGAGATAAAATAACAACAGACCTCACAGGAATACAAAGGATTGTAAAAAAAAAAAAAATATTATGAACAACTCTATTACAAAAAAACACAAAACTGGTGAACTAGAAGAAATGGGACATATTCCTATAAAAATATGACATTCCAAAATTCAATCAGGAAGAATAAAAAAATTTGAATAGGCCGAAAACTACTGATGAAACTGAAGCAGTCATCAAAAAATTTCCAGCAACAAAAGCCCTGGGTTAGATGGCTTCAAAGGAGAGTTTTACCAAACATTTAAAGAAGTAAAACCTCCAAGACCGGTTTGGCTCAGTGGATAGAGTGTTGGCCTGCGGACTGGAAGGTCCCAGGTTCGATTCTGATCAAGGGCATATACCTTGGTTGCGGGCACATCCCCGGTAGGGGGCGTGCAAGAGGCAGGCAGCTGATCGATGATTCTCTCTCATCGATGTTTCTAACTCTCTATCCCTCTCTCTTCTTCACTGTAAAAAAAAATCAATAAAATATATTAAAAACAAAAAAAGAAAGAAAAATATCTTTGGGTAAGGATTAAACAAACAAAAACAAACAAACAAGATAAATAAATAAAGAAAGAAGTAAAACCTATCCTCTTCAGATTATTCCAAAAATTCAAGAGGAAGAAATACTTTCAAGATCTTTCTATGAAGCCAGATTACCCTAATCACAGAAACAGATAAAGACACTGCAAAGAGAATTACAGACCAGTATTCCTGATGATCATAGATGCTAAAATCCTCAATAAAATTCTAGCAAATAGGATCCAGCATACATTAAAACAATCATACACCACCACCAAGTGGGATTTATTCCAGGGATGCAAGGATGGTACAATATCCACAAACCATTAATGTGATACACCACATAAACAAATTGAGAAATAAAAATCACATAATCATATCAATTGATGCAGAAAAAGCATTTGACACAATTCAACACCCTTTCTTGATAAAAACTCTCGGCAAATTGGGAACAGAGGGATCATACCTCAACGTAACAAAAGCCTTATATGATAAACCTACAGCCAACATCATACTCAATGGGTAAAAACTAAAACTATTTCTTCTAAGAACAGGAACAAGACAGGGATGCCCACTTTCACCACTCCTGTTCGACAAAGTACTGGAAGTGCTAGATATAGTGATCCAACAAGAAGAAAAATGAGGCATCCAAATTGGAAAAGAAGAAGTAAAACTGTCATTATTCACAGCTGACATTACATTGAAAACCCTAAAGACTCCATCAAAAAACTACTAGACTTAATAAATGAATTCTGTAAAATATCAGGATAGATAACACTCAGAAATATATGGCTTTTTTATACACCAATATTGAATTCACAGAAAGATAAACTGAAAAACAGAAACAAAACAAAGCCCAATATCATTTACCAATGAACCAAAAAAAATTAAGATACATGGGAATAAACTTAACTAAGGAATTAAAAGACCTGTACTTGGGAAACTACAGGATATTGAAAAAAGAGATAAAGGAAGATATAAACAAATGAAAGAATATACTGGGTTCATGGATTGGTAGAATCAACATCATTAAAATGTCCATATTACCCAAAGCAATCTACAGATTTAATGCACTCCCCATTAAAATACCAACAGCATACTTCACAGACCTAGAACAAACTCTCCAAAAATTCATATGGAATAAAAAAAAACACACAAACAAACAAACAACAAAACAACAACAACAAAAAAAACACCCCAAAAACAAAATCCAAATTGTCAGATCAATCTTGAGAAAGAAGAACAAAGTTGGAGAGGTTACAATACAAGATATCAAGCTGTATTACAAGCCACTGCTCTCAAAACTGCCTGGTTCTGGCACAAGAACAGACATATAGACCAATGGAACAGAAAAGAGAAACCAGAGATCTGACCCAAGCCATCAAGCTCAATTAACCCTTTGCACTCCGAACCATTCTGGACATTGGCTACCAGCTACTCGACGCTAATGGCGGAAACATGCGTTGAATTAACTCAATTCCCCGTAATCACTAATAAACTGCAATGTCCCCTGAGAAGGGACATCCGAGTGATATGCTAGAATTCCGATGTCCCCTGAGAGGGGACAGCGGAGTGCAAAGGGTTAATACTGGACAATGGAGACAAGACCATGCAATGTAGTCAAGACAGTCTATTAAATAAACAGTGTTGGGAAAATTGGACAGATACATGGAAAAAATGAAAGTAGACCACCAACTTACACCATATACAAAAATAAACTCAAAATAAATAAAGGACTTAAACACAAACAAACTAGGAAACTATAAAAATCTTAGAAGAACACAAAGGCAATAAAATATCAGACATAGGTCAATAGCAATATCTTTACCGATACAGCTCCTAAGACAATGAAAACCAAGGAAAAAAAAACAAAAACAAATGGGACTACATCAAAATAAAAAGCCCCTGCACTGCAAAACAAACCATCAAGAAAACAAGAAAGCCCATTGCATAGGATAACATATTTGCTAATGTTACATCTGATAAGGATCTAATCTCTAAAATTTATAGGGAACTCATATATCTTAACAAAAAGAAGATAAACAATCCAATCAAAAAATGGGCAAAAGACCTAAATAGACACTTTTCAAAAGAGGACAGAAGGCTGAGAGACATAAAAACATGCTCAAAGTCACTAATCATCTGATAGATGCAAATCAAAACAATGAGATACCACCTCAACCTGTCAAAATGGATATTATTAACAAATTGACAAAGAAAAGTACTGGCAAGGATGTGGAGAAAAAGGAACCCTCATGCACTGCTGGTGGGAATGCAGACTGGTGCAGCCACTGTGGAAAACAGTATGAAATTTCCTCAAAAAGTTAAAAATGAAACTCCCATTTGACCCAGTAATCCAACTTCTAGGATTATATACCAAAAAATCAGAAACACCAATCAGAAAGGAAATATGCACCCCTATGTTCACAGCAGCACAATTTACAGTAGCTAAGATTTGGAAACAGCCTAAGTGTCCATCAGCAGATGAGTGGATTAAAAAGCTTTGTTACATCTACAAAATGGATTATGCTGCTGTAAAAAAGAAAGAACTTTTACCATTTGCAACAGCCTGAATGGACCTGGAGAGCATTATACTAAGTGAAATAAGTCAGCCGGAGAAAGATATACTGTGTATCACATGATCTCACTCATTTGTGGACTATAATATAATGAACAACATAAACTGATGAACAAAAATAGATGCAGAGACAGAGAAGCAAAAAACAGACCATCAAACCTCAGAGGGAAGGCTGGGGGGAATGGGGACTAATAGATCAATCAAAGGACTTGTATGCATGCATATTAGCATAACTAATGGACACAGACAATAGGGGATGAGGGCATGTGATGGGGCATGGAAGTCTGAGAGAAAGGTCAATGGGGACAAAAGGAGACACATATATTTTAAATAAAAAATTTAAGAAAAAAAGTGTTTAATATGGTATCTGGTACT